AAAGACAAAGTTGTTGATGGAGCTGGATTCGTAAAAGACAAAGCTGGCGAAGCATATGATACTGTTGCACCTAAAGTTGCTGAAGGTGCCGAATATTTAAAAGATAAAGCTGGTGAAGCTTATGATGCTGTCAAACCAAAAGTTGTCGAAGGTACAGAATATTTAAAAGAAAAGGCTGATGAAGCTTATAAAACTGGAAGTAAGAAAACATATTTTTATTCTCTGTCATTTTTTTTTGTTTCTGGAACTATTTTTATTTTTCAGGTAAACTCGCCGATGAATATGGTGAAATTGGTAATTGAAATTTGTTTATTTTATTTCAATGATAATTGTTTTTTTTTTAATTTTTATAGCCAAAGATAAATTATCTAAAATTGCTGATGATGTCAAAGCTTCAGGTAAGAAAAAATTGATATTGGATTTTTTTTTAATGAAATACTTTTTTTTTTAGCTCAAAATTTTGCTGATGATGCAGTTAAAGCTAGTCAAGAATATGCAAACGAAGGTGTAAAACAAGGTCAAAAATTAGGTGAACAAGCTTTCGAAGTTGGTAAAGATAAAGGTTAGATTCATATATATATATTTCAATAATTAATAATAATAATAATAATCTTGTTTTTATTATTTGCAGCTAATGAAGCACTTAAAGCTGCTAAACAAGCCAGTAAGTTTTGTTGTCTTCTTTGGTTAATCTATAGTATTTTGTAATATTGTGTAGGCATCGATGCATATGAAGCTTCACTTGAATTAGGTGCTGATGCTGGTAAAAAAGGTCGAAAATTAGGTAAATTAATTTCTTTTTATTCAATATTAATCATTTTTTGTTTCTGTTAGCTGAACAAACACTTGAATTGAGTCGAGATAAAGGTAAAAATTTGTCTATTTTAGCTTCCATTATAATAAATTTATTGAAATTATTTTAGCTAATGAAGCATTGAAAGCAGGTAGACATGCTGGTAAATAGTTTCTAATCAAAATTTTTGAAATTTATTTAATAAATTATTTAATTTTAGGTGAAGATGCAGTTGAATCAGCGCAAGAATATGTCAAAGATTCGAAAAAGAAAGCACAGAAAAAAGCAAGAGAAACTACTGAAGAAGCAAGTGAAGCAGCACAAAAACGTAAACGAAAAGCTACAGAATTGTAAATAGATGTAAAAATACATTTCTTTTTTTCTCTGAAATATAAGTTAATCACGAGTCTTATGTTTTCTTTACGGCGATATTTTGTGTTTATTCAAGCTGTTAACCTGTGTTTCTTGTTTATATATATATATATTTTTTTGTTCAGTTCTATTAAATAAAATAACCTATGCAAATTCATCTGTATTTTCTCAGCACATTCTTTTTTTTTTTGGTTGATTTCTTTTCTTATTAAATGTAATACAAAAGATAACTATATCATTGAAGAATGTAAATGTAATTCAGTTCAACAAAACTGACTATCGATATTCATGTTTTCAATAATTGAACAAGAGATAATCGTCTCATTCGCAATGCTTATTCGTAAGATTCATTCAATATCTTATAAATTTATCTTTTTAGTGTACAGCTCATTTGATCTATGATAGTGTACACAATTAATAGACAATTCTAAATTAGATTTTTTATAATCAAAATTTACGATATGTTACCAAAAAAATGCTTGATTTCATTTGGAAAAATCATTGCTCACTCCCACTACGCTGGTTTCGGATTTAATATAGTTCCGTCCATTTATTTTTTCCTAATAAGTTTTACTAAATTCTGTTTTCGCGAAATAGTTATTAAGCCATTGAGATCTCTTTGAATCTATCTGATTCTTATAATCATATAACGGAAGACCTATGCCAATACTTACTAGAATAGGTCCTCAACTGTCAGCCACCGTTTCGAACCGTAGACAGATTAGTTGATGTAGAGCTCGACTAGCTAATTTCGGTGACATAAAGCTTTTTTCTCATGGAGCTCTCAATCAGAAAAACATTCGATGTTATTTATAGAGGATCCTATGAAAGATACTGAGTTTTCTAGATATTGTGTTTCGTGAGAGTCATATGTAATAATTGATTCCGTCACATTTGGCTGTCCATTCTCATAAGCGAAGCTAAGAAATGTGTATGTATACGTGAATTTGCTTATATGAATAATGCTGTCATTCTGCGAATAAGTTATTTGTATATTAGACTCTAACACGTATCCGTAGTTTTTATAGAATACCATTTAATACATTCTAATGGATTTAAGATCAAAATGAAAAAATTCTTTTCAACTTTTTTTCAACTTGTTTTTTTCTTATATTTAATAATTGATCACAATGACTATTACAGAACAGCTTGTCCAGCTAATGGTGACCCAGCACGACCAAAGTTGAGCAGAAGATTTCTCGAACATAAGACGATCGAACTTATCCATTCAAAAATTTTTTATAGGATTTCGTATATTCCCTATTGATAGATATCATTTGTTTTGGATAATGACGAGAAGAAATAGTGGTCGCCAGCCAAAATCAAGCCTTTTTTTTGTGCAAAAATAATGAAACAGGAGCCTTATTGTCTGTTATCATATTTCGAACACTACTTTATCGTTTAAAAAAAATGGAAATAATAGTGGTATTACCGAAGATGTAGCTACAGTTCGGCATCAATGAATCACCTTCTATTGTTGTCAAAGCTATAAAAAAAAAAGTGCTTTTTTTAATGAACCCAAAAAAGTTGATGAGTGCGTTACCGTAATATTTTGGTGATAACTCTTTGTAGGAACAAGCTTCCAAAAAAAATACATTTCACCATCATCAGGTCTGTTGTCTTAACTTCAAACACAGATAAAATCATTTGATTCAGAGCGAGAAAATTTTTAGGAATGTGACCTTTTTTGAGTGGTTCCGATGGAAGGAGTCCTTTTGAGAATGAGTGCATTATCACCACTTTCTATCCTTCTAGAATCTTTGCAGTACGACCAAATGAAATGAAAATTTTAGTGAAACTAGAACTTTCATATATCTTGCTGCAGTGCAAGTTTCAGTTCTTTATCATCTTAAGTCATCGAATTATAACAATCAGAAGGTCAAAAATGGGTGAGTGCATTACTTGTGGACATACTGAGAAGTTCTCAAAGCATACCAAACAATTTTTAAGTATGCTGATAATTAATCAATTCTTGTTTTATTATTTTTTTATTTACTTTCCGTCTATAAAATAGGATGTATTTTCTTAATAAAATATTTTCTATGTATTCAGTAGACATTGGACATAACAGAAACATAAAACAATTGAAAATTATTATCTATGATTTAGTACACAACTTGTGAAAAAATTATAGACAATCGCTATTTGCATATTCATTTGCAAACATAAAAACGCTGTTCATTTCAAAATTGGCTATATTTTAAATTTTGATAGTAGCCAACACCTAAAAATTGCCATATACTAATTGAAGAAAAGCATCATGTCTATGAAGACACAAAGTGATTTCTATTTTATTTTCAAGTTGTAAGTCTGATTTTGCTTTTTTAATACTTCCATATTGTGTCTTATTGATTTTAACAGTTGATTTTAATTATTATTATAAGAGTTATATTTACATGGTTATCAATAATCTAGAATTAATCAATAGTCTTCATGTCAGTTGATATAATAGTTAGTTGTTCAAGATTTAAGTTCTCTAGAATTTATTATTTGTGATATGTGTCAATATGATTATTAATAAATAAGTTAATCCAGATAACAATATTTGAATAATACAAAAACTTGTCTTGTTTTTCTTTATTTGCAAGTCTCTTCAACAATTTAAGTATTCTTGAATATCGAGATAAGACAACAATATGACGTGATGCTTATAACTAATCCAATATATGAATAAGATTGAAATTAAATTTCTATGATTTATAAATTTTCTTTCTTTTCAATATTCGATGAATTGATAAATATTTTATATATAACAATGAATCTAACAATATTAAGTAGAATTATCTTCTATAGTGAGTAATTCTTTGAAATATTTCTATATTAATCATTCATATAGTTTTCACATTTATTATTATCAGCTATGCTACTCGAACAATGTTATTCAACTGTGATTTTAACGCAGAAACTTCGCTCAGCTGCTCATTTATTCCATCAACAGGTCCAAATCTATTGACTTTGCCTGCTGACGCACCTGATTTAACATCATGTCGAAAACCTAATCGACCATTATCAGATGCTACATCTGTTAGTAAGTTATATTCTAATCATTTCTATTTCAAACTTACGTTTATTTTATTATTTTTTTAGTTACTCCAATAAATGGTCATATGTGCAACTTACCTTATAAAATTAATAAATGGGATATGCATTTTTGTTTAAGACAAAACACAACAAACATTTACACATGTCCTACATCTATATCAAATATGAGTGTGTGTGCATCAGGTAAGATTCTACCGAAATTTTCTCTTATGAACATTTATTCTGACAATACAGGTAAATATGGATTCGCTTCTACTAATACTACAAATAGATTTGAGCGAACTTACACATCATTTGTGAGAAATAGCACAGTAGATGAACAATGTCTGACTTTTTATTATTATTTTACTGATGCATCAAGAAATCCAAAGATTGATGTTCTATTCGGATCACCATTTGGAAGTAGTCTGGATGATACTATCATTGTTACAGTAATACCTCAAACAGACAATAAATGGTATAAAAGTGAAACTTCATTTTCCATAAATTTTACAAATTATACAGTAATTGTTGTTCTTATTGTTTAAATATATCAAAATATCTTTTTTTCTTTCATAAATTATCTTCAGCTTAAATTCAAACTAACTCGAGATAATGGTATTGATAGTACAGAATTTTATTTTGCACTTGATAATATATTAATTACAAGTGGATTGTGTGGTAAGACATTCGTCTTTTTTTAAAGTTATTTTCACAACAATTAAATATGACAGAATTAGATTTAGATAACATCACGTTGTCCACTGTATGTTAATAAAATTTTAATTCAATTGTAATTTCATAGTCAATGTCATTTATTGTAGGACGAATCAATATTAACACAATTTACTTCAACTACGTAAGAAATAGCTTACTTATCTTTTTTTGAAATAATTCAAAATATTGACTTAAATA